ATAACAGATCAATGAAAATTTCTAGAACTGGATTCCGACTCATTATTAGTAAAGTCAACTCCCGGTCAAACTTCCAAACTTTAAATTTCCAATTTTCGTCATTTCAAGCCAAAAATCAACTACAGACTTCCAAATAAATATCCGACACATTACTAAATCCAAAATCACCATACGGGACTATTGAAACCAATTTCATCTCGGGGTCGTTTACACATAATTCATCTTCCGGTCAATTATTTTAACTTAAGCTTTAAATCTTGGAATTAAATGTTCCAATTCATTCTGAAATCTCCCTGGAAAGTCACATAATTACAACTGAGCATAAAATATTCAGTAAATGGGAAATCGGTGTTGTAATACTTAAAATGACTGGCCGGTCGTTACACTAACAGATCTCATGAATTTGTTCATTGGGCTAGCAGTGACAGATCTAAAGGTTAAGATGTGAGTTTTCAATAGTGAGTAGTTTTTACCTATATATATATATATATATTAAAAGTAGAGGCAAGCGGAGTCAAAGGCCGAGCCTCAATCTGCAAAGGGGGACACCCATGCCAATCCAAGCACAGTAAAAGTGTGCCCACTCATGCAACTATTCCAAGCAACATATTGATTCCAATGTTGCGGAGATGGGTTTTGCTGGTCGAACTAATCTACTTTAAAGATTCACTAGCACTAATGTCGTTATTTCAGTGACTCATGGCGCTAACTCAGTCTTTTTGATTCTTGAGAATGGTTGACACTTCTTCCAGGACTGAAATGATTATCCTTGTATGTACATATATACTTGATACTATCGTAGGAACCTATAAACTTCAAATTTTGCATCAATCACTGTGTGCTAGCTACATTGAGCCAAAAAATATTTACCATGTGAACTTGCGCATTACTTTATATAACACTTCATGTTTCTCTATCTTTCCAATGTAAAAATTATCTAAGGTGTTATATTTATCACTTATTTGGAAGCTTGTCAGTCTGGAAGTTTATAGTTTTTTTCTTTAATCCGCACCTCATCGCAAAGCGCTTAGTTATTAAATGAACAATGGACTATACATGATTTTCATGAACCTCACTTGTGTATATGATGGTAGGCTAGAAACCCGTAGTTTAGTCATAATTTGTACTCTAATCACTGTATGCTACTTGTGGTTGGGCTTAAATAATGGTGATTTGCGCTTATTACGTGTTTTATGCCTTGCATGAAATGATTCCGAGCTATTAAGATAGTTTAGAGCTAATTGAACAAGTTGTATCTTTGAAGTCCGAGTAAGGCCAAAGAAATAAAGTCGGGATCACGTTCGGGAGTCGAATATCAAGTCTGGATGTCAAAAAGTGAGAAAACAAAAATTACTCCGAGAAAATTGCACTACAGTGCCGCGCCATGAGTAGCGGGGCGCTAGTGCAAAATTCTTGTAGAGTGAAAAATATAGGCCTCTAAATTTTCCCACTAATGCAGTGCATGGTGCATGGTGCGCCACGATAGTGTATTTTCCTCGCCCAACTTTTCCCACTTCGGTTTGGAAAGGATAGTTTTATCTGGGCCCGTTCCTATATGGTATAAATACATAAAAAACATGAATTTTATAGAACTTTTGGATGGGAAGCTTTGGGAGTTTTGGAGGCTACAAGACACATGATTTCATCATCTTTCCATCAATTCATAAAGAGTTTGGATTGTAACGTTAGATTGATGTTTTCTTACTCTTTAATTATATTTGTGATGACTTCCTCCGTGATTATGGAGTAGTTTCCCTTAGGATTTTACGTATATTGTGTTTTGATTTATATTTGTGAATTTCAACTCTAATTCTTTGCTTGAATTTTATTTACGGAGCTTTGAATTGTTGCAACTTTATTCACCAATTTATTTAATCAAAAGAGGAATGTATTGGCGATTATTTTTGTATTATTTTATTTGGTCTAATTTAGTGGTTCTCTTAAGTAATAGAAAGAGCTTATTGAATTGTTGATTAAATCAAGTTAGAAGAATATTCGATGGACGTTTTCCTAAAGATTAATCCATTAACGCATGCTTGCATATTTTTATAGTGCTTATATTAGTTCACTCGTATAGTTAAGATTAATCGAGAGAAGAGTCTTGACTACACGTTTGAACTAATCATCGAGTGAAATCATGAGAATCACTAGAACGTTAGAGTGAATTAAACTAGAGTTAGATCCCAAATAACTATCTTGCACCTACCCAGACATGAGCGTTCACTTTGCTAATCTCTAGTTCTTTGCAGTCAATTGTCAATTGCTTTACTTTAGTAGTTAATCGTAGTTCGTAATCATTTTAATCATGTTTTGATCATCCCTAATAGTAGTTAAACAAGGAATTACTAGAGCATTGTTTAGATCCAATCCCGGGGAGACGATAATTAAACTATACTATCTTTGGCTAGCGAGCATCAATTTCGTATTGTGTTTTGCGCTCGTCAGTATAAAACTATAATTAATTGTTTTAAATTTTATTCTTTGACAACATAATTTAAAACTAAAATTTAAATAATATTAATTTGTGGCTTTAATTGAAAATATTATGACATATAGAAAGTGAAAATAATTTCATAAATGTATCGAGTTTGATGGCATGTGAATTATGTAGTTATATTACATTACACATAGTACTCTATTAGTGATTTCCTACATGAGATGTCACGCCCCAAAATCCGAGGAGCGCGACCGGCGCTCAACCGAGTAAACCCGACTGAGCAAGTATGTTAGATTTCATTCTACCCAACCTAGTTCACGAATAAAGAGGGAATGTTATCCCATTTTATCAAAAGAAAATACCGCTATCACTGGCCGGCGCCGCTCGCTATGGAACCACCTGTATCATAAAATGATACAGCGCCTCCGACAAAAGGGACGTTAGTACCGTCGAATAGCACAAGTATGTAAGGCTAAAAGTCCTCTATCAAAATAGAATGTCCATATAAGCAGAGACATCACATTGAAACAACAAGTCACAATAAACAATATCCAAATAACCAATTGAAACATAACGATGTTCCAGTAAGAAAATTGTGTATATATATATATATATTTATTTGGTTGGGAGATCACGAGCATCGATATTACCACCGTCTTTGTTAGCACGGAGTCCGATCACGCCCGATCGGCTAGGCCATCTCCCCACGGACAATGTGGTTTAACATTATGATTCGAAAGAAAGTTGTCACAAGAGTAGTACCACCATGTGCGCAACATGGAGTCTGATCTCCACCCGATCAACTAGGCCGCCTTCCCACATATGTCGTGTGGGTTGACTTTTTCTTTTCCAATTCACAAGTATTAGTTTCATCCCACTCTGGGGGGAAATCACAATCTTACCAATATTTCAATTTCATCCCAAATCACACTCCACCCCTACACCGACACGTGTAGTTTCATGTGTGGGCTTTATGACCCACCCTTCCTCGGCCTTGCTAATGGTTCTCCAAAAAATATTTTTAGTTTAATTGCCCACAAAGATAACACATATATAGAAATGTATTCATCCCGGAATCTTTCATATTGTACAGATCTTTATTAGAATATTCAATCATCCATATTAATAATATTCTCTTGGCTCTTTGGGCCATTCACAAGATTCATTATTCATGGCACGTTGGCTGCATTATATATTCCATACTTTCACTTATTTTAATTTCAAGGATCATCACCAATTGCCAATGTACAAAGTATTTCAGAAATCATATACCTCGAGTTCATTAGCAATGGAAACTTTAAACACAAAAGGTTTCCTTCCCAAAGACTGGGGCATACCAACCAGCAATAAATACATACATCAAAACCATAAACAAGCAATACACCAATTATTCTTGAATTACTCTTTCCCAATCACAACAATGTACAATTTCAAAATCGGAGTAAGTAAGAACTCGAATCACAGTGAATGCATTATAAGACAAGACATTAGTTTAAACAACAACTTATTGGCATGAAATTGAGTACCAAAAGCTTTTAGGCAATTATGTTTTCGGAATAATTTTAAAATAGTTGAGTCGAGGCTCATTTCATAATCTATTTCACATGTTGTCATTTCATAGGCATCACTTGGCACAAATATAACTCAAGTCCTTAGCACATTATCCACATTCATTTTCCCCAATTCGTTTAATGCATTTTCAATCATCTTTATAGATTATCAACAATTAGACACATTCAGTCAAGGCATTTAGTACACATAAGAGCAACTAGGAGCATTTAAACATATCGAATTCTTCTCACCCAATTAGTATACTAACCTTCATATAAAATGTGACTCAAGGCTATACAATCTTGTTAGGCAAACCATACTTAAACTTACAAAAACAATATGGAATTCACTTCCGAGAGAGAAAGTTTAGCCTACATACCTTGTTTAAGCTTTCCTTAAGTTACTACGATGTTCCGAAAATTCTAGCAATCCCAATCTACTTTGAGACATAACAAAATTGAACACAAATTAGGAAGGTATTCATGGTTTTAGCTCATTTGAGCATTTTATAAAATCCAGAAAAATCTAAGAATAATTCATGATTTTTGGATTCACATTATACTCCAATAATTGAGAGCTACCGCTTCAGGTTATAGTTTCAAACTCTAGGAACAATTACTAAATTTTGAACTTATAAATATTCAAAGTTCAGCAAATTTTTTTAAAATTGTTCCGTATTTTAGAGATAAATATTTTATCTAAGATTTATAATTTCACATTAATGAGTTGCAACTTTACCATGACGGCCATGTTGACAGATCGAAGTGAATTAGTACTAGTAGTATTTGTTTTGTTTTCAAGCGGGAGAAGGGCCTTTTACTCGTAAATGACACATCTCAAAAAATTCAAATTCATACTCCGCTTCCTATTGGTCCATTCAAAATGACACGGATCGAGGCAGCTACAATCTCTACCGTAGATCAAATGTCAATCCAACGGCCACAACAACCATCCGAAAAACCAAAAGACAACCAAACATCTCTATAAAAACCATGTGCAATTCAGACCCATTCCACATCTCTCGCTCCGACAACCAATTTTTTCCTTCAAATCATTCATCATCCTGCTCTAAATTCTTCTATCTTCAAATGGATACTAGCGGCAAAGCGAAGAAAGGTGCAGCCGGAAGAAGAGGCGGCGGTCCAAAGAAGAAGCCGGTTACCCGGTCCGTGAGAGCCGGTCTTCAGTTCCCGGTCGGTAGAATCGGTCGGTACCTGAAAAAAGGCCGTTACGCTCAACGTGTTGGTACTGGTGCTCCCGTTTACTTGGCTGCTGTTCTCGAATATCTGGCTGCTGAAGTAAACTTCCTTAATCCCTCTATTGTTTTCAATTTTTACCGTAGTACATTTGCTATTTTAGAGTTCAATTAGGATTTAGGGTTTTATTGGATTCAGATTATTGTAGAATATGTTGAAATGTTGATATAGGGTTGAATTTGCATTGCTGTTGTATAGTTCATGTCTCTGATTTTTCTTTCTTGCGGTTATAGGTGTTGGAGTTGGCTGGAAATGCGGCACGTGACAACAAGAAGAACAGGATTATCCCAAGGCATGTGCTTTTAGCTGTGAGGAATGATGAAGAGTTAGGGAAGTTGCTTGCTGGCGTGACAATTGCACATGGTGGTGTTCTTCCCAACATTAACCCAATTTTGTTGCCTAAGAAGACTGGAGGTGATAAGGCTGGCAAAGAACCTAAATCTCCTTCCAAAGCTACCAAATCTCCTAAGAAGGCTTAGATTTAGTGGTTGTAATAGCCTTTTGTTTTTCTATCTTTATTTGGATATTTACTGTATGTATCTGTGCTGTTAGAATGTGTTCGATCGTTCTTCGGGGATGACAAAAGGGAATTAATTGGAACTTGGAACTGTTAGACCTTACTAGGTTGTTTTCTATTATCAGGTTGTTTTCTATTATCAATCAATGAAACCCCTTGTTTCGATTTTACAATTTTTTTCCTCCTTGCTTCATTTTTGTGTGTTTGTTTGTTGGTGTTCTGTTGCTTAAAATGGTGAATATTTTTCTTTATTCTTATTCAATGCCTAAGGGGTTGTTTGGTACATGAAATAAGAATAATAATTCTTGGATAAAGTTTGGGATTAACTTTATACCATGTTTGGTTTGAAATATTAACTAGTATTGAAATAACTTTTATACTAAAATGGTGAAGTTAATTATCCAATATAGAAGGTTGGATAACTAATTCCCTGCATATTGGTAAGTTCTCACTCTTCAAGTGAAAGATATTGGCCATTGGTGTCGCTTGTTAGTTTAATCTGTCTTACAATTAAAAAATGGTACTCCATTTGTTTACTTATGCTTTTAAATTCAACTTTATTCTTGTTGGGGCTTATGAAATTACAAACTTAAAACGTATATTAACTGTGGTTGGACTTGAATTCAAGTAATTCATTTTTTTGTTTGAGAACAAAGCCTGATAATGATGCGTTTAAGCCTTTAAGGGGCAAGATTTTTCTGGCACTGCTGTATTAACACTAAAACCTTAAGTATCACACTCAAAGACTTTTCATGAATTGGCACCAGAAGTTTAACAAGGGGAAAACTAGGACATTTGTTATAGAGTTGCAGACCTCCTCAAGAGTGCATTTTCCTCCTCGTACAACAAAGTACAAATGAAGAGGCTTAATTAACTATCTAGTCTTAGTACTGTAGTACACCAAAGTCTCATGATAATTTTTGGCAATGGTGGCAAAATGGATAAAAGAAAATAATTATTCATCAAAAATGAGTTGGATAATGAACTTTCTAAAAACGGGTCAAATATGAACAAAAATTATATTATCCACTAAGAAAATGAATAACCAATGGATAACTAATGAGTTTAACTTTAATTGAGGGTTCCTTAAGTTTGAGAGACTAGTAAGTTTACCAAAAGTGATCACATTCAAGATACCATGGGTAATATGGATATCCTTATTATCCATTGGTTAACCCATATTTTGTGCGAATTAAATATGGATCGGGTCGGAAAATTTATCTGTTTCTGCATTACTCGTTTTTGACCAGTCCATATCCGACCCGACCAGCCCGTTTGCCACCTCTAATTTTTGGCATCGGGGAAAGATTTGGTATAATAAAACATACAAGGAGCTTATTTCTCATCGCTATTGGATAAGGAAGTTTGCAACTCTATAACAAATGTCCCCCTTGCGAAGGGAATCATGAAGATGTTTACCACCTAATTTTGCACTGTAAGGTTACTAACCAGATTTGAAGCTTGTTCTTTGCAATCTGTTGCGTGACTTGGACATTGTCTTACTCCATTCTAGAATTTTTGCACTGCCGGAGAAGAGATGATCTCCACTAGAATGCACTCAAGATTTGGAATACAAGTACTCATGTCATTTGGTGGACAACTGCGAACTTGTGCACTCCTATCCTATTGTTGCTTCTATTACGATAGGGAATCATGTGATTCTTTCTATCCCCATACTTTCTTGCTCTTATGGAGTTGTATTTTCTAGGTTATGCGGTTATCTTCTCTGTCTTGACAGTAATCAAGGGAAAATCACGCCTTTGCTCCTTCTTTCTATAGCTCACTAACAGAAAAACTAATATAATTCTTAGCTACTGTGAAAGTTAGAGTCTTAAAGAAAGTAAGTGCTTGTTGCTTCTGCACTCTTTCTGGTGATACACAACAACAGAATTTTGAAGGCAAACGAAAAAAAACATACATATCATTTACCATTATTGAACTTAACTGTTACTACTATGAATTTTGTGGGAAAAGTTATTTGTGTATTTGTTTTTTGTTCAGTGACGATAATAGTAACTTTCCCAACAATAAAATGCAGTTATAGAACTTAAGTGCATAACTACTGGAAGGAATAATCCTCTTCAAAGAGTCTTACATTGAAGGTCTATAATTCTCGACTCTTAGTTACATTAACATCCAGAAATTCCCAATGAATTTGTGTTGATAAGGCATATTCTTTTCGGAGCATTCATTTCATATTTTGAGCTCCCTACAGGCAAGAAGAAAGGAATAAGAATTTTTGACATCTCCAGCAACTCTTTCGGGCTGAATCTTGTTCCAATATCGAGGAATTCCTTCCAAATTGTCTACAGTCTCACCAAGAGCCATGGACGTGCCAATGCTATTCTATTGTGATTACAACGCCAAGGACCAAAAGACCAAACTTTTGAAGCAGCAAGTGTTATGGGAACAAGGGGCACATCAAATTACATTGTTTATGACACATGCATGTTAAGATTGACCTCTGCAGCCCCACCCCTTAGACCATAAATAACTTATTCGCATTCAGTATTCTACCCAACCAATGGAGTCTTTTATGCATGCATTTATTATATAATCAACGATCAAGCAATATGTATTTTCTGTACTAATTCTTAAGGTTAAATTGTTTGATTTGATGCATATAAGTCTCCGTTGCTAGGGTGATCACTTTTACCCCATTCTTGTGTTCAACTCGATTACAATGTTTCATCTTTCCCCTATTATTGCCAAAAAATTCTCCTTTCTGATTCGGTTCGAATCACAGAGATAAAAAAGCACTTCCTAAATTGTTCACTGATAAAGTGAAATAACAATTACTAGTTGTTTTTGGTCTCCGATTTCTGGACGTTGAGCAGATATGTCCACAGATTTCAGTGTCCTAATTTCCTCAACAATGTGCACATCTTGTACACATCCAGATTATTGTTAGAGATACTGTTGGATCCTCCAAGACCAATGAGCCTTAACCATTGAATCTGGTCGAGATATTTTCGGAAAATCACATAAAAACAGGAATAATAAAGGAAAACTTCTCCAGAACAGAACGAATAGACGACAGAAACAGAGGGCTAATAAAGTAAGCCTTCATACATCATTAGAGTCCAGCAGAGAGTTATAGGAGCCAGACAGCTTAGGAAATTTTGCAAAATCCAAAATTCAAACAGATAGGAAAACTATAATCAACAGTAGAGAGTAGACACTAATGATTGTCCATGTTGATCAGTAGCTTAGTTTAGGGATCTAATGTGCAGTGCGCAATATTCCATGCAGATAACCACCAGTCATAACAAGAGACACAAAGGAGACAACACCAGCTGGAAAAACCTTCTTTGACTTCAGAAACCGAGATCCCATTACTCCCAGAAGTGCAGCCGAGAGGACGAAACCCATTGATGATGCCAAAACAGGTTGTGTTGGAAGCATAGCATAAACAGAGTACAAAAGGGAGGCAGAAACTCCACCTGCAATTAGGGACTTCGTGCTGCCACTTTTCAGATAACCCATAAAACCACCAGCTCCAACCAAGAAAGCATAGCCCAATGTCAATTTTTGGGACATAGAAAGGGCCATTTTCTTTTTATTGCTATGATCCTTGCCTTCATCTGACTCCCCCTCGTTGCCACCATCATTATTATTATTATTATTGCCACCATTATCTCCCCCACCACCACCACCGCCATTTGCACTCCCAGAATCATCTCCACCACCACCACCTGTCTCTGGCAGAATATCAATTCCTGGCCCTGCTGAATCAACAGTGAAGGTGGTTGGCATTGTAGAATCAGAGACAACACTGGCTTTGACTCCCCAGTAGGAAGGCTTTGATCGAGTGGACAAGTTTGGGTACACCGTGCAAGGGGTATTCAATGGATGTAGAGATGAACGAAGTGACCTCAATGGCTGACTATGAGCAAAGAAATGCTGCCTTTGACTCCAAGCTTGGACGCGAAAGTGAGGCAGCACTATGGAGGATTGAGCAATGGCCAAAAATTCTCCCATGATGTATATGCTGAATTATGAGAAAGTTATTTACGGGATGTTTTGTTTTCTGTAGCTTGTGTATTATCAGCAACTTCCACAAAAATCAGTCTTCCATCAACAATCTGCAACCGGTAGATCATTTCAATGACAGAACAGAAAAACGGAAAGCAGCAAGACTCTTCAGACAGCCAACATTCGATATTTCACCAGGAGGTAAAAATGAAACAAAATTAAATACACTTTATAATGCTGGAAAACAAATTCCCTTGGGGAAGTAAAGGAGCTTTCTGCAAAGACATAATGCTACTTAAATTCCCCCTGATTGTTGAGGATTTCTTAATTTTAGCAGATCAGAATCTTTTCCATGGTCCTTACAGTTGACTGACTTTCTTTTTTTTCGCGACAATCTCACAAAGCCAAGATTTGGAGCAACAAAAAACAATCAAAACAGTCTCTCTTTCTCTCTCAAAAAAGCCATCTACTTTAAATTTCTGAAATAATCCATAAAATCAAGACTCTGCACATAAGTAAATCAAGCATAATTGCTGCAAACAATTAACCAACCACCACAATCTCAAATTAGCTTTCAAGCCAAAGCTTGGTGCATTATTGACATCTCCAGTCAACGGAAAACACTTCATGCATTTTTTTTTTATGAAGTAAGCAGGATATCATTAAAAGCATCAAGAAGATGCAAAAAGATTACAAAACAAAGTTTGTTAGCTCATTTATAGTTGAAGTGCTACAAAACTAGAGAGCCGACAAAGTCTAAAAATACATCAAAAGTAGATATGCAAACAAACCACAGAGCTACGCCAAAAGTAGACATGTGCACAAATAATTTTCAAGACCAACACCAATATTTTCCTAACATATTCATATCATTGATATAGGATGTCTACTGCTCTCAGCAATTGTGCTTTCACTCATCTCTATTTCTATCTACTGGGTACTTTCCCGTGTTTTATAAAAAATTATAACATTCTTTTTGATCTGTGTACACAAAGTTTAGGGATTACCCTTTTGAACAACTTAATGTTCCCAACTGTCATTTTGCACTAAAAACACACACAAAAAGAAAGTTCAGCTGCAGAGGGGTAATAGAAGCATAGATGCGGCAATGAGGTGCCAATATTAGATGAGAAGTCAAGAAAGGTAGAGACCACAGGGGGTGACTGGTGGCAGTGGCTTAATAGAGGGGAAACAGACCGTTCGTCATCTTGGCGAGCAGCAGGATTGGAGTTTGATTTCATAATTTTGTTCTTCAGCTGACAAGTTATGCAAAATATGAGTATACTTTTCTTTCTTCCTTTTCTTGTTTTGTTTGTTACATGCTGAAAATTTCTCATCTCCAAAATAATAACTCATCATTTTGCAGTCCTTATTTTCCTTAAAATGATAACTTCTATAACCTCTTTAGTCTTTACTACAACTTTCCAGTTTCTTATCAATAGCTCAACGACTACCACTACTTAAAGCAATGAAACATCTACGACCAGTGAACTTCAAGAGATTTTGCTCTACCATATTGCTTGCAAAACCAGAAGGAAGACTCGAAACAACAAGAGACTTCCTACTATTCATTTCCACTAAAGAGTTTATGAGACAACTAATTCAACAAAGGTAGATCATATATCCATAAAACAATTAAATAAAATAAACACCAAAAACAACAGCAACAATAGTCGAACATAATGAGATACAGTTCCTGGACCAAACACCGTTTCTCCATAGATTTTCTAGAATCTAGAGCCCTTCCAAGTGAAAGTTAGATTTCTTTAGATGGTTATATTCTTCGCATGTTTCGTTATAAACCTATTAATGGCCCCTAACTTACATTTTCCACTCTTTATCATTAGTTTCATTCGAACAATGATTATCATGTCTCCAACTGAAAGCATTTGCAGGACCAAGTCCTTTAGACCAACAAATGCAACAATTTGTGCTGGTCGATGATAGCAAAAGTTCACAAAGTCAAACAACACGCTAAATTGTTTAAGATGCTTGGAAAAATCTTTCGCTTATAGTTTTGCTGTAAAGTGCTGGAAATAGACATCTGCCTTCTTTAATCTATGATTGATAAATAGTTTTCTAAGCGAAAGACAGACTAAGAATTGTAAATAATAGAGGAACACTTAGTTTTTAAAGTGGGACACCACTATAACAATTATGTGTTTCCTATCTAACAATGGATAGATTTAATTAAAAAAAACAATATTTAAGAAAAAACTAAAAATTTCAATCGGAAGTAGCGGGTGTGCTTGCACTCATTGCTGAAGGCTACATCCACAACTGATGATAGGCACCATCATTAAGCATGTTCCATAAAATATACACAAAACACACCATCAACAAACACACAGAAACAAGTGTACACATTTACCAACAAAGCTGAGGAATTACCCTTCCGTTAATGGAATTCAATGCATTCCGAGCATCTGCTTCTGACTCAAAGGTAACAAATAGAAAAATGACTAAATTTTTCTCTCTGTATTTTAAAATAGAAAAATGATGGGCAAATATTTTTGCGGGAGAATCATTGATTTTTTGAGATATCTATGCTTTCTAGTTCCTAATTTGTAATTGTTGGATCAATAGTTTGGTTGAAGTTTATTAATCTGACATCTCACTGGTGTGCAGTGATGTAAACTCAACTTCACATTTATCATTTTATTTTAATATTGTTGCTTGGATACAACTTTGAATATCTTTAGGTTTGAAGACCTTTTCTTTTGTGATGATATGGGATCTAGGTTTGAATTTTTACGTGTATTTTATTTTCTGCAATAATCAGGGGCGGCCCTTCCGTAAAGCAAGTAAAGCAACCGCTTTAGGCCCCATATTTGTGGAGGCCCCATTTTATGTTACAGCTAATAGACTATGTATAAGTTTCAAAAAAGGTTCTGTGAAGTGAAAAAGTTTGATTTATTTCTTTATCAAATAAAGAGAAGAAGGATTTGCAACTATTATGATTTCTACCAAGGAAATTGCACTTGAAATGAATATCGAACCCAATTTCGTAAGAAACGTGTGATATATAGGAAGTAACAATTTGATGTGAATGTTGATAAAGAAATCTCAAAATCTTTCGAAGGGTCCTTTAGAGTTGATTACTTTTATACATAATAGATAATGCTATTTTTTCACTTCAAAATAGATTTGAACAATTCAAAGCATATGAAAATATTTTTGACTTTCTAGTTGGCAATAAAAATTAAAATCACTAGACGTTGGAAATTTGAAAAAATATTATCTTAATCTTGAATGTTCCTTAAAGCATAATAATCAATTCGATATTGATGGTTTAAATTTATTTTCTAAATTAAGAGTATTAAGGAAAATAGTACAATTAGAAGATTACAGTTTAATTGATACACTTAATCAAATAAAAAGATTTAATTCTTTTCAAATACCTAAATTTCTTATAGAACAATGTTAATAACTCATGTTATCGTTGCTTTAGCGGAAATGAGTTTTCAAAATTAAAATTGATAAAATCTTACCTAAGAACAACAATGTCACAAGAAAGGTTAAATGGATTAGCTATATTATCAGTTGAGAAATACTTATTAGGAGTTACTGATTATAAGAAAACCATTAATAACTTTGTACCTAAGAAAAACTAAAAAAAATAGACTTGAAATAAATAATAATAATAATAAAAAAAAAATTAAGGCCCCTCAAAAAGTTTGGCTTTAGGCCACAAAATTCGTCGGGCCGCCCCTGGTTTCTGACCTTCGAATAGCACTCCAACAGAGAAAGACAACATACGAAGCCATAATCCCTGAAGATAAGAGTCCTCTATTTACCTGTAAAAAAAGGAAAAACAGGTATTAATAACACATGAAGTCATTTTCAATGCAAACTAGTTTGTTATAAAAACGTACCTTAGAGTGTAAGGATACAACCATCATTACTACCAGCAAAATTGCAGTCCAGGAGATGAAGAATATGTTCAGACTGCATGATGTTTTGGACGCGACATACATCACCAAAATTCCACAAATGGACGCGATGTAACATATTGTCGACATGAATAAGCCAAGAGAGCAGCTGCTATCACAAAAAAAATGATATAATGTAAGTACACCATATTAAAGAGTAAGGCCTCGAGGTGATTAGACATACTTTTTATACTATTTAATAGTTCCTCTCGCAAAAATTGATAGAAACGACCGTAGATGAGTCAAATGGTCTTAGAAACCAGAATCTCAGAAACACACTGTAGCAACTACCAAGGGTATAATCATCAAGAGTTTCAAATGATCCTTTTTTTAATGTTTTTCGTATTAAAGTATAACAGGTGCACTTGTTCTAGAGAAATAAATAAGGCTGAAAATGATAACCACACCTTTGTTTCTTTCTCCCGTCAGGCATCCAATAGTTATTCCACCATGTAATGAACTCGATCACGCTTATCAGCTGGAGGACGAGAAAAACCCTGCAAATACATGCCAAAAACCAGTATTGAAGTTTAAATTGCTATGGTCACTGCAGATCCAAACAGAATAGTATAAGAATATTATCAGTGTCATTTTCATATAAGGAAGTTTGAAAACTTTGAGCCACTAGTTTTTATACTTGAAGTAGTTGTCACATTCAACTATCTAGTTCAAGCTCTGATAGGAAGGAAAATTTTTTGTTGCTCTTTTATTGATAAACCAATTAACCAAACGCTTCGACTTAGGAAAATTTCAGTCGTACACTTGCTTCACGGACTGCAACTAGCTATGTGTAATGTTTTGATAATTAAAAGCTGGATATAGGTGGCAATAATCTAGTTATTGACTATCTATGTTAGAAGAGAAATAAAAACGATGGATGTGAATATTACCCTGCACCAACTCGAGTGAATTCACCTGCAAGAAAAAGAGCAATTTCCGTTTACATTTGGTATGTAATGAGTGGATAAATATAAACGGACATTTATAGAGAAAAATTAATAAGATGAAAGTTTAACTTATAATGGAAAATTTTGCATGAAGCTAAATGAAATGCTGTGATCGGAAAGCTTAAGCATTCACTTTGAGATTTTCTTATTGCATTTATCCTCAAGAGACTCACCATATAACTGGATGTAATCTGAGGGGATAAAAAATGGAATCATCATAAAAGTTATCAGCATAACAAACTTCAAAATCCACAATCCAGAGTGCCATCCGTTGCGAACTTCACACAATTTGCTTGTGAAACATGTTGTAAGAAACATTACTAAAAAGAAAATCTAACAATGTATGTCAAGGATGCAAGAACAAAAGAATTCTGTCAAACTAAGAAGTACCCTTAAAGAACAAAAGGAAAAGTTTCAAATTCACATATTTATACAGAAAAACATGCTCCATTCCGGAACTTCTTTACTATTAAATCATATATAAGTATTAAAAGACTTTCTAAAAATTGTTTTAAATCAAATTGAAGATATACCAATGCGAGCAATCAGGCCGTATTCTGCCTACAGGGGCATAGCATTTTGTTTTTAATTAAAGGAGAGAAGTCATTATCATTTTTAAGCAAAAGGATACGAAGCAACCTAAACTCACACGAAGAACCCCCATTGTATGAGAACATTCACTTCCCCCAATTCCACATGCTTTTGAATCTGTATAAAAAGGGGGAAACAGGAATCAGAGTCCATGTTAGAGTTACCAGAAGATGTTAAATGGTATTTCAGTTAAAAAGATGAGTATAAGAAGTATATCATATAGTTTCAAGTGGCATATATTGTGAAAGCAATGAAAACAGTTGTAGAGAAAGCAAAAGTTTAAGCCATATGCAAGAAGGAAATGTGCATAAGGCCTAATTGAAAATGAAATGAGTTATTGATTGTGTCATAAAATGGCCCATGCCTCGATCGTCCTCCAGAGGCAACATTTGGTCATGGTTTGAGACTAGAATAGAACTCTATATAATCGAATCTCCTAGTGTTCCTATGTAGCACATTGGTAGAGCGGTCGGTTGTTAACCGAGTAGGCTATTTTATTTTCGTAGCATGCAACATTCTGTAGTAGCTATGGAAGCAGAATGTTTTGCCACAAACATTGCTAGCTAATGCACTTGAAGGGGAGCCTTGGTGTAACAGGTAAAATTGTTGCCATGTGACCAAGAGGTCAGGGGTTTGAATCGTAGAAACAGCCTCTTGTAGAAATGCAGGGTAAGGCTGCATCCACTAGACCCTTGTGGTCCGGCCCTTCCCCGGACCCCGCGCAAAGCGGGAGCTTAGTGTACTAGGCTGCCCTATTGCTAGCTAATGCACTTGAACCTATATTTGACAGAAAGATTGCAATGTCAACAATGTAGAACAGTAAGAATTTCGACTTACATCGAAGCAGAGGAAGAGCCCTTTCTCCATAATCACGTACGAACCAAGCTATAAGATTTGTTATCAAGAATATAATTCCATAGGAATAACGAGCTCGCAATGAACTCTTGCTTTTAATAGAACATTCCATACTCTTCTGTTGTAATGTCCCAGAAATTTCTCTCCATTGATCTACCTCATTGCCATCTATTTTGTCCTCTAACATCTTGCCTCAACCTTCAATTCAGTGGCACTCTTCCTGTTAGAGGTAAAGCCAAAATCAGTGAGTAAGCACTTCTTATACTACACAAAAGTATCACATTGTATTTCTAAAAATTGGATAGCTTGCACAGCATAGAACAACATCATAGTCAAACACTCACAAATTGCTTACATTGCTGGTCTCAAGCCTGGATAAAGGAAGCCGGAGGGTTGTGGCAGGCTGACAGTCAGCGTAAAACTAGCCAATTTATGATAAATAATCACACACACCAAAAAAAAACACAATTTCTAGGTAAAACCATTAAGTTTTCTCTATCTGATTACCAACTAGTACTTACCAAGAAAATTAGCCTTTTGGATTTCACACCAAAGATATAGAATAAAGCATGTATATAACTATTTCTGCTTTGGGGTAAGCATTAAGCAAGACAATAATAGAATTGCTTAAAATTCCAGTATAGCCAAAATGCACCTTCATTTCTTCCAATAGAATTGGAGTTTGAAGCAAGTAATGGTTAAACTATTGTAAGCTTGTTTAAACCATAAGTAAGCCTATATATTGGCTAAAATAGGGACAATCTCAGTGTATATCGGGCCGCCCCTGGCAATAATTGAAAATTGTTGGATTCTTGGTGGCATATGCTAAATTTGAATCGTTGTTCGAGTTGAAAGTGTTGATTAAAATATTTGATGGTTGGATTCTGCGAGACTGCGTGGGAGTAGGGGTGGGCATCGGTCGGTTGGGTTCAGTTTTGAATATTATCGGTTTTGCCTATCGGTTACCGGTTTACAAATATCATAACCCGATAACCAAACCGATAAGATATTGGTTATCGGTTATCGGTTAATCGGTTATTGATCATTATCGGTTCGGTTATCGGTTTACCCGATAAGGTAAAACTAAAATTAAGAGTGCTGAACGCTGGATATTACCTAAAATTAAGAGTGCTGAACGCTAGTATTTGTACAAAGTAATATTTGTACAAAGTTTACTGGAAGCTGCTATATATGACACTTCAAGGTAAGGACCAAGGAGCGGGTGGGGATTTCAATCCAACAAAAGAAATTCTCAATATACCAGTTTCAGTATAAAACTAAAAGTTAAACTACAGCTGAGTAACAATTTTAAAGGTTCCAAAATGAGATTTAAACTTCTATTCAGTATCAAGAATTCAAGATCTTGTGGCAGAACTACAAGCATTTGAAGACTGTCACAAAGCTGCACATAGAACAACAATTCAAAGCTGCACATAGAAAAATTAAACACATATTGACAACACCCATAATCATATAGTCATAATTCTAAAGGAAAAGCCAAAAAATATTAAATTTTTGCCTCAAACTAAACATACCCAGTGGCCAGTACCTCAATTGCCCACATACAAAGTGCAAACAGCTCAAAATTCCAATCTAACAAAAATAGGAGATAAAAAGATCCCAACTTTCACAATCCAAAAACAGATGGTACACACAGTAATGTCCAAACTCCAAAGTAATAGTTCAAACACATTAATAACAATACAAAGTAGTAGCAACCTTAAGATTAACAAGTTCAAAGTCCAAACATAATACTAATAGTTCAAATTCATGTAAAAAACACAACAACTACTCAATCCTTATAGGCTTCACCAAATTGCGCGCCAAACAACGCTCAACATGCCTCATTTTTAAATCTTAAAATGGAACACATATAACTACACATAAAAAAGAAAATATGATAACAGAAGGTTTGCTTTCATTACTACAAAGTATTGAACTGTCTCATGCTTCTCTTAGTTTCAATAGAGATAAAGAAACATCATTTCACATATAGTGCATGTCACTAATTCTGCGTCAGATGGTAACTAAAGAAGACTACGACATATGCTTTTATGGCTTTGAAATCTGGAATCATTTTAAAAAGATGTAAATTTAATTTATTTGTTAAAGAATAACATGAGTTGTAAGTCCCAAAATAAGATTTCGCAGTAATTCCATAGCTTTCAGCCATCTAACTCCTATAAGTGATGGCTAAGCAAGAAATTCAAATAGTACTTCAAATGAAGAGATGTAAGGACTGTGATAAACAATCAACTAAGATAAATTCAAACAATCAGTGTAGTATAAATTCAAGAAACCAAACATTTTAGGGAAACCATTTTTCTAGCTTCATAAAAAGGAAAATATGCAAAAATTGATTTCTAAGATACCAAACTAAGACGAATTCAGAAATGGGATATGAAACACTGACCTTAGTGCAATGCTCTGCCGGAAAAAGATATAGAAAACTGAGTCTTGACGGGCTCAGTCGTGGGGGCGTGACCGCGTGAGTCGTGAGGCGGAGAACTGGTGAAGGCTTGACTGCTTGAGTCGTGTGGCCGGTGGCGGACTGGCAGAGAACTGGTGAGGTCTGACTTCTGAGGGTGAGGACTGAGGGTGAGGAACTGAGTGAGTAAGGCGGACAACGGACTGTTAGTATATGAAAATGAAACCCTACTATTACTAGTATATAGTTAAGTGTAAACTAGTAAATTAGTAAAACCTTATTGGGTTATCAGTTTACCCAATAACGAAATTGCTAAACCGAGCCCGAATCGATAACCTAATAAAAAAAAACTTACCCGTTATTGAACCGTTAACCCAATAATCCGATACCGATAACTCAATAAGTAATTAACGGTTCGGGTTATCGGTTTTAACCATATATGCCCACGCTTGCGTTGGAGAAGGAGAGGAATGAAATGCATTTAACTCAAAATTTAAAGAGATGATGAAGTTTAGTAAAAGTTGAAAGAAGAAAGCGGATTGAATATCACTGCTGAGAGAAACATGAGCATAAGTAGGTTAAAAAAAAGGTAGTGTAGGACCCACTCTTAAGTAAAATTGGGTAAAAAAGATAGAAATGAGATGGTGAAATCGGAAACACATAAGTGTCCGAGAGATAAAAGGAGGGAGCTGACATGTGGGACCTATATTTCCACTTGTCAAATAGGCAGAGGTGCCTCATACAAGTTTTGTTGGTTGAGTCTAATCAAAATAAAATTTCTCGTCAAATAGACACTGTATTTGTCGAAATTGCAGGTCGGTCACTATTTTAATTGAAATTGCATGTTAGTCCCTTCTTTTCTCATTAATTATTATATGTCCCTGTTTCAACGTTTTTTCTTCTTCTTCTTCTTCTTTCCACCTTTTTCTTTTCTTTTAATTTTAATGCGATAAGAAATCAGTGCTAATAAGGGGAGACATTCTCTAGCTTGCTTTCATAAAAATTCCATGTCGCAAAGTTATGGCCGCCGACAAGCTTTATTGGCAGATGCGATACATGATTAAACTGAACAATAACATTAGAATTGCTGCTAGTGGAGTCAACATTTATTACATTAGGGGCCATTTTAAGTGTGAGTCTGTGTGGCAGTCAGAGGATCTAAAATAAAACTCGTGAGAGTCAAGGAGATCGCTCTGAGACCATATAATGGAGAAGTTTTATTGTGTGCCTCACACAACTGACATTAATTGTGTGAGGCGCTTTTTTTGTCTCACAAATTGGTGGACCCAAATGAGCAAGATGAAACAAAAAAAATAATTTTGTTAAATGATGATGAGCTGATTATATACACAAACAAGTTACAGAGGCCTAGTTAACAGACCAGAAAGCAAGAAAAAACAAACTCCTTAAATGATGGGAACAAAATAACAACATATGCAATAAAACAAAGTAGATACACAAATTTTACAAAGCAGTAACAATAACTCCTAATATGTCAGGCGTTAATTATTAAATACCTTCGAGTGGCAAGCAGGACGACAAAGAGGCCCCTTACTCCCGCTTTGAAATAGTAGGAACTATTACAGTATTTCTTTAGGGGGTAAAAGTATATGGTATTCTTTTCTACTACTCCATCTTAACAGGGGTGAAATTACATACTCCTTTTGAGGTTTAGCCGGACACCAAATGCTCCAATCAAGCATGCCCAGCTCCACAAACCAAGTAAAAAATCTTGACACTGGAACTGACTACAAGCAAGCAAGGGAAGGGAATTATTGTGAAATTAGTAGGGTTGCTCAATGGAACTTTCCAAATGGACATCTGAGATAGCATCAAGACGAGCACAAAACAGATCTAGCCGCGATCTATTTCATAGTCCAATAGCTAAAATACAAGCTCATCAACGAGCCTATATACAAAAATACTATTGCTGCAAGCATCCTTGACAATGGCTTCCCATGACTCAAAGTCAAACCTTTTCTTCCTTTTCTCCATTTCCTCCAAAACAAAGCAAGCATCTTCAACCTTCTCTTTATCAAGCAGGCCAAGAATCATACACCTTACTGTTTCTACACGCGGAAAATGCCCGCTAATCAACATTGCATTCAAAACCTTCAAACCTTCCTCAAATTCTCCTGTTTTACAAAACCCATCAACCACCATTCTATATGTAGTTGCATTAGGATTGCAACCTGCAATTTGCATATCAACTAATATCCTATACGCTTCAGCAGTTTTACATTCCTTACAGAAATAATTGATTAACATATTATAGATCACAACGTCGGGCTTAATGTGCCTCTTTTTCATCTCCACGAGTAAACTATTTGCCTCACCAATGTCGCCTCGTTTTAAAAGATCAGTCATCAAAACACCATAATTGACTATTTTCAGCTTACATCCTTGGTATTCCATATCAAACATTAACTTCTTGGCTTCTTTATACTTACCCAAAGAACTCAAACCTTCCATCAACAAAGCATAAGAAACTGCATTTGGCTTCTTTCCCTTTCTAACCATATCCTGAAACAAACTTTTAGCGCCTTCAACATCCCCCTTCTTACACAAAAATCCAATTTGACAATTGTAAGTTACCACAGTCGGCTCAATTTCTCTTTCAATCATTTCATCAAACACTTGGCGTGCCAGTTCCCAGTCATCCTTTTCCAGCCACATCTTAATAATAATGTTAAACGAAACACCATTTAACCAAATACCCATTTTCGAACAATTCCTTAACATCTTATTTGCATCATCAGAACGTCCATTATCAACAAGCACATTTAAAAGTGCATTAAAAGACTGTACACTACGCGTACAATTAAACGACGCCATGTTGTGAAAAAGCTCAATAGCTTTATCAACCAACTGGGCTTTGCCGTAATGTTGAATCAACCCGACAAAAACCTTCTCTTGACATCGAATATAATATGTTTTTAAATACCCAAGAAGGGTTTCAACAGCTTCGAAGTCTCGAGACTTAGCGAGCTTATAAATAAGACAAGCATAAGTAGGGTAGTCATGTTTGAACCCGGTTTGCTGGTAATCATGGAACAGTGAAATAGCTTCATCAGGATCTTGGATTTGTTTGAGGTTAGCAAGTAGTGGTATTGGCTTGCGAAGTAGGTTTTTTGTAGGCTTATGAGGCCTTTCAAGTGAGGATTTTGAGGTGGGTTTATGAGAACGATGATGACTATGGTATGGTTGGGATGGGAAAATTGAGGTTCTGAATTGTGCAAGGTTGTTAATTTTGAGTTTTGAGGGAGTTGTGCTAGCTTGTTTGATTCTTGAATTGATCATGGAATGTAGGAGGTAGAGGTCAGATTACAGTTTCAAGTGTTAGATGAAAGATCTGTGGAGGGAAAATGTGTTGCTTAAACTTGGAAGCACATTTGAAAGCTTATGCACTCGATAATCCTGTTTAAAAGAACAAAAATCGAATGTGTCAGTGTTAGGGTTTTAATAAGGACAACATCAGACAAATATCACGATTAATAAGAACAAATAAAATACAATAAATATTTGTAGTTTTGTGTGTGTGTGTGTGAAATATCGAGAGAGAGAGAGAGAGTATTGTTGACGAATAGGTGCAGCCCTTTTGCCATCTGAGTTCAGAGAGTAGCGTTGTATCATCACGTCAAAAAGGAGAAATTTTATTTTGAGTGAGACTCAACCAACAAAACTTGTATGAGGCACCTCTACCTATTTGACAAGTGGAAATATGGGTCCCACATGTTTCCATCCCCTTTCTCAATTCCCTCTCTCATATTTTTACCAACTTTACGAGATGACAAAATGAAAAAGCAATCAACTTTTCTCCTCTATCTTCTACTCCTTTTCCTAAAAGGAAGAGAACATGTGGATTTTTAGGGTCGTTTGTTCGTGTATGCTTGTCCAAATTCAAGAGTCTAAAAAGAAGAATGACTGAATTTTTCTCTCTGTATTTTAAAATAGAAAAATGATGGGCAAAATATTTTTGCGGGAGAATCATTGATTTTTTGAGATATCTATGCTTTCTAGTTCCTAATTTGTAATTGTCGGATCAATAGTTTGGTTGAAGCTTATTAATCTGACATCTCACTGGTGTGCAGTGATGTAAACTCAACTTCACATTTATCATTTTATTTTAATATTGTTGCTTGGATACAACTTTGAATATCTTTAGGTTTAAAGACCTTTTCTTTTGTGATGATATGGGATTCTAGGTTTGAATTTTTACGTGTATTTTATTTTCTGCAATAATTAGGGGCGGCCCTTCCATAAAGCAAGTAAAGCAACCGCTTTAGGCCCCATATTTGTGGAGGCTCCATTTTATGTTACAGCTAATAGACTATGTATAAGTTTCAAAAAAGGTTCTGTAAAGTGAAAAAGTTTGATTTATTTCTTTAACAAATATAGAGAAGAAGGATTTGCAACTACTATGATTTCTACCAAGGAAATTGCACTTGAAATGAATATCGAACCCAATTTCGTAAGAAACGTGTGATATACAGGAAGTAACAATTTGATGTGAATGTTGATAAAGAAATCTCAAAATCTTTCGAAGGGTCCTTTAGAGTTGATTACTTTTATACATAATAGATAATGCTATTTTTTCACTTCAAAATAGATTTGAACAATTCAAAGCATATGAAAATATTTTTGGCTTTCTAGTTGGCAATAAAAATTAAAATCACTAGATGTTGGAAATTTGAAAAAATATTGTCTTAATCTTGAATGTTCCTTAAAGCATAATAATCAATTCGATATTGATGGTTTAAATTTATTTTCTAAATTAAGAGTATTAAGGAAAATAGTACAATTAGAAGATTACAGTTTAATTGATACACTTAATAAAAAAAAAAGAATTAATTCTTTTCAAATACCTAAATTTCTTATAGAACAATGTTAATAACTCATGTTACCGTTGCTTCAGCGGAAATGAGTTTTCAAAATTAAAATTGATAAAATCTTACCTAAGAACAACAATGCCACAAGAAAGGTTAAATGGATTATGAAGTGAAATACTTATTAGGAGTTACTGATTATAAGAAAACCATTAATAACTTTGTATCTAAGAAAAGTTAAAAAAAATAGACTTGAAATAAATATTAAAAAAAAATAAAAAGTTAAGGCCCCTCAAAAAGTTTGGCTTTAGGCTACAAAATACGTCGGGCCGCCCCTGGCAATAATTGAAAATTGTTGGATTCTTGGTGGCATATGCTAAATTTGAATCGTTGTTTGAGTTGAAAGTGTTAATTAAAATATTTGATGGTTGGATTCTGCGAGACTGCGTTGGAGTAGGGGTGGGCATCGGTCAGTTCGGTTCGGTTTTGAATATTATCTGTTTTGCCTATCGGTTATCAGTTTACAAATATCATAACCTGATAACCAAACCGATAAAATATTGGTTATCAATTATCGGTTTACCCGATAAGGTAAAACTAAAACTAACAGTGCTGAACGCTGAATATTACCTAAAATTAAGAGTGTTGAACGCTAATATTTGTACAAAGTAATATTTGTACAAAGTTTACTGGAAGCTGCTATATATGACACTTCAAGGTAAGGACCAAGGAGCGGGTGTGGATTTCAATCCAACAAAAGAAATTCTCAATATACCATTTTCAGTATAAAACTAAAAGCTAAACTACAGCTGAGTAACAATTTTAAAGGTTCCAAAATGAGATTTAAACTTCTATTCAATATCAAGAATCAAGATCTTGTGGCAGAACTACAAGCATGTGAAGAATGTCACAAAGCTGCACATAGAACAACAATTCAAAGTTGCACATAGAAAAATTAAACACATATTGACAACACCCATAATCATATAGTCATAATTCTAAAGGAAAAACCAAAAAATATTAAATTTTTGCCTCAAACTAAATATACCCAGTGGCCAGTACCTCAATTGCCCACATACAAAGTGCAAACAGCTCAAAATTCCAATCTAACAAAAATAGGAGATAAAAAGATCCCAACTTTCACAATCCAAAAACAGATGGTACACACAGTAATGTCCAAACTCCAAAGTAATAGTTCAAACACATTAATAACAATACAAAGTAGTAGCAACCTTAAGATTAACAAGTTCAAAGTCCAAACATAATACTAATAGTTCAAATTCAAGTAAACAACACAACAACTACTCAATCCTTATAGGCTTCACCAAATTGCGCTCCAAACAACGTTCAACATGCCTCATTTTAAAATCTTAAAATAGAACACATATAACTACACATAAAAAAGAAAATATGATAACAGAAGGTTTGCTTTCATTACTACAAAGTATTGAACTGCTTCATGCTTCTCTTAGTTTCAATAGAGATAAAGAAACATCATTTCACATATAGTGCATGTCACTAATTCTGCGTCAGATGGTAACTAAAGAAGACTACGACATATGCTTTTATGGCTTTGAAATCTGGAATCATTTTAAAAAGATGTAAATTTAATTTATTTGTTAAAGAATAACATGAGCTGTAAGTCCCAAAATAAGATTTCGCAGTAATTCCATAGCTTTCAGCCATCTAACTCCTATAAGTGATGGTTAAGCAAAAAATTCAAATAGTACTTCAAATGAAGAGATGTAAGGACTGTGATAAACAATCAACTAAGATAAATTCAAACAATCAGTGTAGTATAAATTCAAGAAACCAAACATTTTAGGGAAACCATTTTTCGAGCTTCATAAAAAGGAAAATATGCAAAAATTGATTTCTAAGATACCAAACTAAGACGAATTCAGAAATGGGATATGAAACACTGACCTTAGTGCAATGCTCTGCCGGAAAAAGATATAGAAAACTGAGTCTTGACGGGCTCAGTCGTGGGGGCGTGACCGCGTGAGTCGTGAGGCGGAGAACTGGTGAGGGCTTGACTGCTTGAGCCGTGTGGCCGGTGGCGGACTGGCAGAGAACTGGTGAGGTCTGACTTCTGAGGGTGAGGACTGAGGGTGAGGAACTGAGTGAGTGAGGCGGACAGCGGACTGGCGTCTGGCGACTGGCGACTGGCGACTGGCGGAGAAAGCAAAATTACTATATGAAAATGAAACCCTAGTATTACTAGTATATACTTAAGCCTAAACTAGTAAATTAGTAAAGCTTTATTGGGTTATCGGTTTACCCAATAACATAATTGCTAAATCGAGCCCGAATAACCCAATAAAAAAAGTTTACCCGTTATCAAATCATGAAACGCAATAACTCAATACCGATTATCCAATAAATAATTAACGGTTCGGATTATCGATTTTACCCGATATATGCCCACGCCTACGTTGGAGAAGGAGAGGAACGAAATGCATTTAACTCAAAATTAATGAGATGATGAAGTTCTTAAGTAAAATTGGGTAAAAAAGATAGAAATGAGATGGTGAAATCGGAAACACGTAAGTGTCCGAGAGATAAAAGGAGGGAGCTGACATGTGGGACCCATATTTTCACTTGTCAAATAGGCAGAGGTGTCTCATACAGGTTTTGTTGGTTGAGTCTAATCAAAATAAAATTTCTCGTCAAATAGACACTGTATTTGTCGAAATTGCAGGTCGGTCACTATTTTAATTGAAATTGCATGTTAGTCCCTTCTTTTCTCATTAATTATTATATGTCCCTATTTCAGCGTTTTTTCTTCTTCTTCTTCTTTTTTCCACCTTTTTCTTTTCTTTTAATTTTAATGCGATAAAAAATCAATGCTAATAAGGGGAGACATTCTCCAGCTTGCTTTCATAAAAATTCCATGTCGCAAAGTTATGGCCGCCGACAAGCTTTATTGGCAGATGTGATTCATGATTAAACTGAACAATAACATTAGAATTGTTGCTAGTGGAGTCAACATTTATTACATTAGGGGCCATTTTACGTGTGAGTCTGTGTGGCAGTCAGAGGATCTAAAAAAAACTCGTGAGAGTCAAGGAGATCGCTCTGATACCATATAATTGAGAAGTTTTATTGTGAGTCTCACACAACTGACATTAGTTGTGTGAAACTCTTTTTTTGTCTCACAAATTTGTGGACCCAAATGAGCAAGATGAAACAAAAATAATAATTTTGTTAAATGATGATGAGTTGATTATATACACAAACAAGTTAGAGGGGCCTAGTTAACAGACCAGAAAGCAAGAAAAAATACACTCATTAAATGATGGGAACAAAATAACAACCTATGCAATAAAACAAAGTAGATACACAAATTTTACAAAGCAGTAATAGTAACTCCTAATATGTCAGGCGTTAATTATTAAATAGCCCTTCTAGTGGCAAGCAGGACGGCGAAGAGGCCCTTTACCCCCGCTATAAAATAGTTGGAACTATTATAGTATTTCTTTTGGGGGTAAAAGTATGATGTATTCTTTTCTACTACTCCATCTTAACGGGGGTGAAATTATATACTCATTTTTATAAGAGCCAACAATTATTATTGAGGTTTAGCCAGACACCAAATGCTCCAATCAAGGATGCCTAGCTCCATAAACCAAGTAAAAAATCATGACACTGGAACTGACTACAAACAAACAAGGGAAGGGAATTATTGTGTAATTAGTAGGGTTGCTCAATAGCACTTTCGAAATGGACATCTGAGATAACATCAAGACGAGCACAAAACAGATCTGGCCGCGATCTATTTCAGAGATTTTCCTAAGTAATAACATACAAGTCCAATAGCTAAAATACAAGCTCATTAACGAGACTATATACAACAATACTATTGCTGCAAGTATCCTTGACAATGGCTTCCCATGACTCAAAGTCAAACCTTTTCTTCATTTTCTCCATTTCCTCCAAAACAAAGCAAACATCTTCAACCTTCCCTTTATCAAGCAGGCCAAGAATCATACGCCTTACTGTCTCTACACGCGGAAAATGCCCGCTAATCAACATTGCATTCAAAACCTTCAAACCTTCCTCAAATTCTCCTGTTTTACAAAACCAATCAACCACCATTCTATATGTAGTTGCATTAGGATTGCAACCTGCAATTTGCATATCAACTAACATCCTATACGCTTCAGCAGTTTTACATTCCTTACATAAACAATTGATTAACATATTATAGATCACAACATCGGGCTTAATGTGCCTCTTTTTCATCTCCACAAGTAAACTATTTGCCTCACCAATGTCGCCTCGTTTTCAAAGATCAGTCATCAAAACACCATAATTGACTATTTTCAGCTTACATCCTTGGTATTCCATATCAAACATTAACTTCTTGGCTTCTTTATACTTACCCAAAGAACTCAAACCTTCCATCAACAAAGCATAAGAAACTGCATTTGGCTTCTTTCCCTTTCTAACCATATCCTGAAACAAACTTTTAGCACCTTCAACATCCCCCTTCTTACACAAAAATCCAATTTGACAATTGTAAGTTACCACAGTCGGCTCAACTTCTCTTTCAAGAATTTCATCAAACACTCTGCGCGCCATTTCCCAATCACCCTTTTCCAGCCACATCTTAATAATAATGTTAAACGAAACAACATTTAACCAAATACCCATTTTCGAACAATTCCTTAACATCTCATTTGCATTATCAGAACGTCCATTATCAACAAGCACATTTAAAAGTGCATTTAAAGACTATACACTACGTGTATAATTAAACGACGCCATGTTGTGAAAAAGCTCAATAGCTTTATCAACCAACTGGGCTTTGCCATAATGTTGAATCAACCCGACAAAAACCTTCTCTTGACATCGAATATAATATGTTTTTAAATACCCAAGAAGGGTTTCAACAGTTTCAAAGCCTCGAGACTTAGTGAACTTATAAATAAGGCAAGAATAAGTAGGGTAGTCATGTTTGAACCCGATTTGCTGGTAATCATGGAATAGTGAAATAGCTTCATTAGGATCTTGGATTTGTTTAAGGTCAGCAAGTAGTGGTATTGGCTTGCGAAAGAGGTTTTTTGTAGGCTTATGAGGCCTTTCAGGTGAGGATTTTGAGGTGGGTTTACGAGAACGATGATGACTATGGTATGGTTGGGATTGGAAAATTGAGGTTCTAAATTGTGCAAGGTTGTTAATTTTGAGTTTTGAGGGAGTTGTGCTAGCTTGTTTGATTCTTGAATTGATCATGGAATGTAGGAGGTAGAGGTCAAATTACAGTTTCAAGTGTAATATGAAAGATCTGTGGAGGGAAAATGGGTTGCTTAAACTTGGAAGCACATTTGAAAGCTTATGCACTAGATAATCCTGTTTAAAAGAACAAAAATCGAATGCGTCAGTGTTAGGGTTTTAATAAGGACAACAACATACAAATAAATCACGATTAATAAGAACAGATAAAATACAGTAAATATTTGTGTTTTTGTGTGTGTGTGTGTGAAATATCGGGGGAGAGAGAGAGAGAGAGTACTGCTGACGAATAGGTGCAGCCCTTTTGCCATCTGAGTTCCGAGAGCAGCGCTGTATCATCAAGTCAAAGAGACACTGTATTTGTTGAAATTGCAGGTCGGTCACTATTTTAATTGAAATTGCATGTTAGTCCCTTCTTTTCTCATTAATTATTATATGTCCCTGTTCCAGCATTTTTTCTTCTTTTTTTTTCTTCTTTTTCCACCTTTTTCTTTTATTTTAATTTTAATACGATAAGAAATCAGTGCTAATAAGGGGAGACAATCTCCTGCTTGCTTTCATACAAAATTCATGTCGCAAAGTTATAGCTGCCGACAAGCTTTATTGGCAGATGTGATACACAATTAAATTGAACAATAACATTAGAATTGCTATTAGTGTAGTCAACATTTATTACACTAGGGGCCTTTTTAAGTGTGAGCCTGTGTGGCAGTCAGATGATCTAAAAAAAAAATCTCATGAGAGTCAAGGAGATTGCTCTCATACCATATAATGGAGAAGTTTTATTGTGTGCCTCACACAACAGACATTAGTTGTGTGAGGCTCTTTTTTTGTCTCACAAATTTGTGAACCCAAATGAGCAAGATGAAACAAAAAAAATAATTTTGTTAAATGATGATGAGCTCATTATATACACAAACAAGTTATAGAGGCCTAGTTAACAGACCAGAAAGCAAGAAAAAAAACACTCCTTAAATGATGGGAACAAAATAACAACCTATGCAATAAAACAAAGTAGATACACAAATTTTACAAAGCAGTAACAGTAACTCCTAATATGTCAGGCATTAATTATTAAATAGCCCTTCGAGTTGCAAGTAGGACGACGAAGAGGCCCTTTACCCCCGCTTTGAAATAGTAGGAACTATTATAGTATTTCTTTTGGGGGTAAAAATATGATGTATTCTTTTCTACTACTCTATCTTAATGGGGGTGAAATTACATACTCCTTTTTATAAGAGCCATCAATTATTATTGAGGTTTAGCTGGACACCAAATGCTCCAATCAAGGATGCCCAGCTCCACAAACCAAGTAAAAAATCATGCCACTGGAACTGACTACAAGCAAGCAAGGGGAAGGGAATTATTGTGTAGTTAGTAGGGTTGCTCAATAGCTCTTTCCAAATGGACATCTGAGATAGTATCAAAACGAGCACAAAAAAGATCTGGCCGCGATCTATTTTAGAGATTTTCTTAAGTAATAGCATACAAGTCTAATAGCTAAAATACAAGCTCATCTACGAGCCTAAAGAGTTTATGAGACAACTAATTCAACAAAGGTAGATTATATATCCATAAAACAATTAAATAAAATAAACACCAAAATCAACAATAACAATAGTCGAACATAATAAGATACAGTTCCTAGACCAAACACCGTTTCTCTATAGATTTTCTAGAACCTAGACCCCTTCCAAGTGAAAGTTAAATTTCTTTAGATGATTATATTATTCGCATGTTTCGTTATAAGCCTATTAATAAACCCCCNCTTCACAAAGTCAAACAGTACGCTAAATTGTTTAAGATGCTTGGAAAAATCTTTCACTTATAGTTTTGCTGTGAATTGCTGGAAATAGAAATCTGCCTTCTTTAATCTATGATTGATAAATAGTTTTCTAAGCGAAAGACAGACTAAGAATTATCAATAATAGAGGAACACCTAGTTTTTAAAGTGGGATACCACT